CCTCACGCCCTCCCTCCGCGCGCAGAAGAGCGCGGCGCCCGGCTTCACGCCCGAAGACGCGGTGCTGGCGTCCGTCGGCATCGTCAAGTGCGGCGCGGAGCGCGGCCTGCTGCTGTCGGAGAGCATGTGCCTGGCCCTGGAGGAGCTGGTGCGGGCGTGCTGCGGTGAGCGCCCCGCGCGCGCGCTGCTCGCGGGGAGGAGGGCCCTACCCGGCTGCAGCCGGGGGGACGGCCCTTTGTGGGGAGAAGGGCCCATTTTGGGGGGTGTTCATAAATGGTGCTGGTGTTGGAGCTCTCCCCGCCTTGGGCGGGCTGCACCAGGATGCACCGGCGCTCCCCGCCTTGGCGTCGGAGCTCTCGTTCCGACCCCCTTCATGGAGGGTAGGGAAACCGGGAGGCTGTTGTTTTGTTGTTCTTTTGCCTTTTATGTAAAACAGACATCCAAGTACCTCAGGGCGCTGGGCTGTTTCAGAGTGTGTTTGTCTTTCCAGTGGAAGATGAAGGTGCCCCTGTGATTATGGTGTGTGGTCCAAAAAACGTTGGGAAATCAACGTTTAACAGATACCTAATTAACCTGCTACTGAACCAGTGAGTTTTTTTCTACTTCCTACTTCTAAGCTTAGGGTAAGGAAAAGTAAAAAAATATATATATGACTTCCACGTTACTGTCTTGAAGTTGAGTACTTAGAAAGGATGTTGGTGCAATAAAGTTTGTTAAGGTCTTCCAAGTTGGTGCAATTGTTAAATAAAGTCTGTTAGGGTCTTCCGAGCTTCCTGGCACAACAGGGTCTGGAAGCTTGTTCTCGTGATCGGTCCTTGTCTAAGATAAAGCTGTTGTAAATCTCATAGTTGGTCTTGAAGTGCCCAGGTAACACGGAGAGGGGGTTAGTACAGCCTCTGGTGACCTTGCCCGCCTGATCATCCTGTTCCTCCAGGACAAGGAACGAGAGAGTCAAGTGTTAGTTTATGTTCTGAGAACTTAACTTTGATGACCTTGATCAAAATTAGGTTCTGCCTCTGATATTTTGCAAGTTGTGCCCTTTTTCTCTTTGGTGGGAGCTAATGCACTGGGTTCTTTTATTGCAGCCTTCCCTCCGTTGAGTATCTGGAATGTGATATAGGTCAAACTGAGTTTACACCACCTGGATGTGTGTCTTTAACTAACGTAACGGAGCCATTTCTTGGTAAGAATATTGGCGCTTTCTGCTCTTGCCAGAACCTGGTTTCCTTCTCAGAAGGCGCTTTCTGAGTAGAAACTGTCCTTGGGGAGAACTAGCCGTGTCTGCTGCGGTACCTAGGCAGAGTAAAGGCAAAGTTGGGGGAGTGTTCCCTGCAAGTCTTCTTAAGGAACACAGAGTTGTTCTCCTGGTTTGTTTTGTCTGTTTTAGATGGGAGAAAATACTTGTTCAGAAGCGGGTGGAGCAGGTTGTGGCCGGAAAAAGCAGATTGCCAGATTTCAGATTTGCAGTGTCTATTTGGGAAAATCTTTCTCATTCTTTAGTATCTGTAGAAGGTGTACAGATACTAGTCTAGTTTGAGGTGAAGCTCGAGGTCTAGTTCGAGGTGAAATACGAAGCAGGTTCATGCAAGCTGGGGATGTTGCTCGGAGCACAGTGCAGACTTGTGCAGGAGAGACAAAACTTTTCCTCAGATGCCGGCTGCAGGGGAATGACTCTTAGCAAATTGCAAGGAAAAGACACCTCTGAGTCTATTTCAGGGGAGATTGCATGTACATGCTATAGGGAGGGGAGCTTTGTTTTGAAGCCTCGCAGCAACCAAAGCGTTCCCCGTTCCAGGGCCGCCGTTCACTCATCAGCGCACGCCGCGTAAGATGGTGTATTACGGACAGACGAGCTGCGAGCAGGACTCCGAAAGATACTTCGATGTAGTGAAGTACGTGTTCAACTCGTACAAGAAGGAAGTGCCCTTGGTCATCAACACCATGGGCTGGGTGAAAGGTAAGCAGCATAAACCTCTTACGAGATGATGCAGAATGACCTTTGTAATCTGTATCACGGCACTTTCTAGATCTGGAACTAGAGACTAGAGCTCACCCCTTGTGATGGAGCTGGTGTTACTGTCTTACAATGGGTGTTCGGGCTCGTGGGCACAAGCGGAGCAACGCCGTTCCCTCTCCTCCCTAAAGGCGAGGGGTTGCTGCTGCTGACCGACCTGATTCGGCTGCTGTCGCCCAGCCACGTCGTGCAGATGGACGTCAGCGACTGGAGAGCCATGGCTCCGCTGAGCGCCGAGGCCGTGCGCGTTGCCCCTGGCCTGTACACGAAGGGCCAGCAGCAGCCCAAGAGCAAGCAGGTGGGCGCGAGCGGGCCGGAGGGCTGGAAGGCCCCCGACGGGGACGGAGACGCGTCGGCTCCCGACTATAAGTTGCTGTATATCCATCCGGAATTCCCTCGAGCGGGAGCTGCGGGTGAAGCGTAAGTAGGAAGTTGGTGCTGTGTGGAGGATAAGGAGCTCCACGGAAATGTTCTTAGCCCAGAGCCAGGTGGCAGTCGCTGTCTCCCAGCTTCTTTCTGTGTCAGTCTGTGTGGATATCCAAAATCTGCTCTTCTCGGCATCCTAATTCTTCCTCGCCTCCCTGTAGGGATTTTTTTTTTTAAAACAATTTTGTTTATTAATGCCTTCTGGAAGCTGAAGTAATATTCTAGTAAGCCTTGGGTACTCTTAGAGTGAATAAGTGTGCGGTTGTAAGTTTTCTTAAGCATGAGAAGAATTAAAAATTAAGCTACTAGGAAATAGCAGCTGACTGTTGTATACGTTGCCTTTTCTTGGTGTCTTGTGATTATTTTCCCAGGCGGGTGCACAGCAGTATCCTACGTGACATGGCAATCCTGGGTTACCTTGGCCAGCTGCAGCCCGCAGGCTTGAGCTCGGCACTCCCACTGCATAGTCTTGTGCCGTATCAGGTAAACTGAGGGTTTTGGAGGGCTTGGGGCTGTTGCAGGGAGGTTTTTGGTAATTTGGGGTTCTGCTTGTGCTGTGAACTACAAGGAGGCAAAATAAATAAATTCAGCACCCTTAAAGGAGGCTTTTGCTGGAGTGTCCATGGGCAGAGTTCGTGTGTCACAGTGTGTGGGTCAGGAGCTCTCGGGTTTTGTGTACCCAGCCTCATCTCTGAAAAACGGACCTGCGTGGCCGAGGAGCTGATGGTCTGCGGGTTTTCTTCCCTAGGTGCCTTTTAATGCTGTTGCACTCAGGGTTATCCACACCGACGTCGCTCCTACCAACATCATGTACGCCGTGAACGCCAGCTGGGTCGGCCTGTGCCAGATACCGGACGCCATCCGATCCCAGACGGACGGGCCGGTCCTGCTGACGCAGACGCCGCTCTGCGACTGCCTTGGCTTCGGTGAGTGCCGAGCAGCAGCTCGTGGTGCTGCAGGAGGGCAGCGTGAGCACCTGGAAAAGCAGGTTCTGGAAAAACCCTCTATTCGAGGAGCTTCCTCTGTGCACAGCAGTTGTACAAGTCTGAATTAAGTCACGGGTCTAAGACTGAACTTTGTGTGTGTTTCCAAGGAATTGTCCGTGGGGTTGACATGGAGAGGAAGCTCTACCACATTCTGACACCAGTTGCTCCTGAGAACCTGAGGCTGGTGAACTGCCTGCTGCTTGGGAATATCGCTGTTCCCAACTGTGTTCTTGTGAGCCAGGTGAGAACTGCGTGTGAGGTAAACCTGGCTCTGTCCTGCCTTTTCTTAGGCTCTCGTGTGTGGAGGTTATCCTCCTGGGGATTGTCCTTAATGCATTTGAAAAAAAAAAAAAAAGAAAGAAAAAAGGGAAGAGTGTTCTTCCCAGTTTTCAGCTTTCAGTGGGGTTTGTTCAGTGACATCTTAACTGCTTTTCACCTGAGGGCTTTTTTAGCCTCTTTAGAGGAAAAAAAGGACTATGTTCTAGCTGAAGATGCAATTTCCTCCATTTCTTCCTCTGTTCCTATTATTTTCCAGCAAGGAATTGAGGGAGAGATACCTTATGTCACATCGGAATATAATTACACCATCTTGGGATCTGGGAAGCTGAAAAAGAAGAAGCATTTCAAGAGAAGGGAGCACACGTTCCCGTGCGACTTCACCTAGAGACTCTGCGAGCCTGAATTCCAGGATTTGCTTTGGCAAGGTTGAGTCTATGCACAGAAGCCCCAGATAAACCACAGAGCTCTGTGTGACCCTGAGCAAGTGTCCACTGTGGGCACTGCAACTTCTCCGTTTTTATTACTGTTGTTTTATATTTGCAATACATGTTTTGCTGTTTTGTAATAAATATCCATTAAAAATGGTATGAATTTATCTAAGCCTCTGTCGCTGCGGCACAGCTGAGGTAACTTGCGAGGAAATACTAAAAGCTTCTGTGCTTTAAAGAGCAGGTTAGTAGCATGGAGTAATTCCTTCTCCCGTTTCAGTTTTAGCCTTTGACTCCCCCCATTCAGAAACTTTATCCCATGTGCTGGGGTGGGGGGCCAATAAACCTCAGCAGATGCCACGTCTGTTAGTCGTGATCTCGGTCAGAAGTTGCACAGATGGTTCTTTCCCTGACTCTAAAACTAACTTGCATCTATCTTGGCTCTTGTTTCACTCTGGTTGCTGTCTTGGTGTAATCTCATGTAGCTGCTATAAAAACCCTTTTTCCAGATAACCGAGCGCAGCTGCGGGCGGGAGCGAGCTGCTCGCGTGCCTGCAGTGCTGCTGCATGGCTGCAGCGGCCCCGGGCCGGGCCGTGGGGCCCTTTGGTGCAGGGGAAGGGCTGCTCTTGCCCAAGGGCGCTCGTGCGCCTGCTGCCTGTGCCCTGGGACCGGGCAGAGGGGAAGGGGCTGAGCGGGGGTGACTTTCACTTAGTTATTCGAGGTCGCAGCTCGGGGTTGGGTCGCAGAGCGCTCGGTGAACTGCTCGGCTTGGACGAGCCGGTACGTGGGCATCGGGCAGCGCCTTCACGGGCCGCTTGGGGCAGCCGGGCTCTTGCTGTAAAAAGTGACCTCTGCTTCCTCGGGCCTTCCTGGCCTGGGGAGGAGGGTGGCGGGGCTCTGCCCGGGCCCAAGGGCAGGTGTTCTCCCTGCTGGTGCCTTTACCAGCTCCGTAGGGAGCTCCTTCCTGCTGCCCCTCGGGCCAAGTTGAGCAAAGGGCTGCTCTTGACTGGGGAGAAGAGGGAAGCCCTGAGCAGGGCCGCTGCTGCGGAGGAGCTAAAGCCCTGCCTTAATCCAGGCCTGATGCTGCCCATATGGCCCCTGTGCCTAATACACACGGGGGCCCGGGGTGCGGCGAGGGGGCACCGCGCGGGGCCCCCCGTCCTCCCCGCGAGCCCGGCGGGCCCGG